TTTTTAGACAAAGTTAAAAACCACCTCTAACCAGATTCTCTTTCTTTTCTGAGCCCTGTGACTGAAACTGGTCTGATGATGTGAACTAGTTGGACTCTGCTGAAGCTTCTCCTCCGACTGCTTCACCACAAACCCTCGGCCTGAGCATCTCTGTGTCTCGTGGCGTTTGGGTGAAGCTCCTCCTGTCTGCAGGATTCATTAAGCCGGGCTACACGGATCATAGCGAGGAGCTGCTCGGCGTCCTGACAGCGTGTTATTGCTGCTGACGGCGTCATTAGAGCCGCATCACGCCGCGCCCGCCTGACAGCCGCCTCTCTGGGAAATTAAACTGTCAGGAAGGCCGCCGCCGCCGCCTTTTGTTTCTCTGCTGGACGTCCTCGCCGTGCGCCTCCTGGACGCTCACTCACCGCTCAGCTCCACTCGGATGAAGTCCTTGAGGCCCTGGTTCTCCAGGAAGACTCCCGACGGGGCGCTGGTCTTGAAGTAGAAGGAGATGTCGGAGGCGAGCTCGGCCTGCAGCGTGGGGAAGTAGAGGTAGGACGCCTCCTGGTAGAAGGAGGCGGCGTTCCAGATGGACTCTGGAGGGAAGACCAGAGCAGAGAGGAGACGAGGATGAGCCTCGTTTAGCTCGTTTAGCTCGTCGGCCTCCATCTTTAACCAACACTCGAGAAAACACCTAAAACATTGATGCTTCTGTTGGATTAAACCAGTTTATGCACAAGAAAACCTCAAATGAAAACAGTTTGAAGCATTTTACCACCAACATGATTCATGTTCCTTAGAACTGGTGCAAGTGTGGAGAAAATGCAGCTTTAAAATCAAAAGAAAAAAGAAAAAAACAGGCGACTTCACAGATAAATTGTCCCTCAAATTAATGAATTTAGGCCCAAAATCAGCCAGATTTTAATTTGTAGTGAATTTGTAGTGGACCAATAAATGTATTCAGGCTGGAAATGACATAAATAAATGACAAAAGACGGTAAATCTTTGTTTTAGAGGCATTAATGATGAATTTGAACTATTTTTATGTCATTTTTCAATGTTTTTACAAAAGATTTTACCACCAAAATGATTCTTATTCTTTGAAACTAGTGCAAATTCTGAGAAAATGCAGGTTTAATATCATAAGAAAAGCATCTTGTGAGACAAAATAGGCGACTTCACAGATAGATTTTCTCTTAAACTAATTAATTTAAGCCAGAAAATATCCAAATATTGAATTACAGTAAACTGTGACTCGATCAATCCGTTAATTCAGGCTGGAAATTACATAAATAAATGACAAAAGACGGTAAATCATTTGTTTTAGAGACATTAATGATGAATTTTAACTATTTTTATGTTATTTTTTTACATTTTTATAAAAGATTTTACGTCCAAA